TACAAGCGTGTAAAATATCCCAGTGTAACCAACATTTAGAACATTTTATATTTAAATTGTGGTATTAATGCTTTTGAACATAACCTATAAATAAATATAATAGTATACGAAGATTCATGAAGACGTTAGAGGTAGATCTACTGCACAAGTTTTCCACAACGCGTTATGTTAAGTTCTGAATAAACTTAAATCCGTACGTAAACTTAGTAATTCAACGCACAAAAAATCATAACATATTATTGCGTCAGGCTTTTGCTACTTAAGTCCCAGTCTACAATAGAGATTTAAACCCTAAGCCTTAAGAAATTGACTAATCACAATCGCGTATTCTACTCATACTTGACCGTGATTGGTCAATTTCTTAAAGCTTAGGGCTTAAATCCTCTATTGTAGACTGGGACTTACGATTTTCTTTGTGCATTGATTGAAGTTTAAGGTTACGAACGGTTCTAAGTTTACGATGGTTACGTTCAACAGAACGTTTATTTTGCAACTGTTGGAAATTTTCTTAATTCACTCTTCGTCTCTTTCTGTTCCCTTAAAAAGAGACAGGAAGTTAGTTAAGCTAAGGTTAAAAAGAAGCGACATGTACTATTCCATCAACGTAATGCCCTCTAGTACGATTTTTAGAAATTAAACCTACACTTTCACCGTTCCAACAAGAATTTTACACGGTGTAACACAGTGCAATTTTGTGTGTCCTAGCTGGAAAACGCCCCATGTAAAGGTCTTCACACATAAAATTCCATAAGGACGTAAAACGTAAGCATAAGAAAATCGACCAATCACAGTCGAGAACGTAAGGCAATGACGCAAGCAGTAGCAAATCCAACCTGTTGATTTTCTTACGCTTACGTTTTACGTCCTTACGGAATTTTATGTGTGAAGGCCTTTACACTATGATCATAGGCCTGTTCTTTATTACTGCACTACTGAACTAGTGCAATAAGTTAAAATGAAACAAATATATTACCTCTCATTCCAACTCATTGCACCAGTGTGCACTAGTTCAGGAGTGCAGCAATAAAGAACAGACCCCATGACAGTACTCGCACTTTGCAAGTTCGCACTAGTCGCACTACTCGCAGTTGGAAAGCACCGGGTCGCACACTGCGTTACGCTGTGTCGCTTGTGTATATTGCTGGAAAGCACCTTATATTGACGCGAAATTTTTCGGCAACTATGTCGCGGCGATCCAGGTATTTTATAAACGAATACTGTGCGCGCGAAGAGGAAATTGCCAATGACCTAGCGTTGATACGACTCGATATTAATAATAGTCAGTGCGCCGCTAAAGATAACCTACGCAAGATTTTGCGGCGTATCGTTGACAAAGAACCACCTGAACGTGCAGAAATTGATGGTGGATTGTATGTTGGTGCGTCCGGTATTTCTTACGCATTTATGCGACTTGCCAAGTGCGCCGCCTTGGAATCGGAAACCAGTAAAAAGCATTTGTCACTGGCTGATCATTATCTGCGTTCATCTTTGTCAATGGTGCAACGTCGTGAAGGACGTTCCAGCACCGGTTTTCTTCTAGGTCTGTATTGCACTATAACAGTATACTTTTCTATACAGTCCTCTTGTACACAGCGTGCATTTGCAATGAAACTCGTGGGAATGGTCCTTTCTTTTTCTCTTGCTTTTTCTCTATCACTCTCACCCTTTCCTGACATTTTTCTATTTGCCTAATATTTTTGATAATATGTATAATATAATTACGATTAAATATTGTCGAGAGTTAAGGATCAGCTTATTACAGTGGTATGGTCGAAAAGCAAAATTCAAATATAGTTAAAAAGTTTTCAAACCATCAATCCATCCTAACGTGTCGCATCTTGAAAATGTACATGATCTGTTGTAATCTTTTACGCTTGAGTTGGAGATGTTAATTGGAGGGAGTTCGACAATCCTCCTATCCCAGGTTAACAGACGAGAATAGGATGTTCTTGTACAGTTTTTTTTCTTTCCAATAAGTGATCTATTACGATTGTTATTTATGATCATATGTATCAACGCATTTTCTACTTTTAGCTGTTTAACTTGCATCTTGAGTAACAGCCTCATGTTCGCCTTTGCAAGAATGCTAGACGGATGTGGTCCGTGGCTCGTGTCTTACAGATAACGACTGAGCCAGTGTCCCCACGTAACGGTGTTTTTAACCATTCGACCGCATGATGTTTATACTAACTAGCGAGTCTATTGAGAAGTTCGAAATATAATGTATCGAGAGACTCCGTGTCTTTCTGTAGATTTATCACATTTTTTTGCTCCTTTATGTGGATCATTTATTAATCTCTTATGCCAATACGGTTCTTTATCTAGGATAGAAACATTATCTCAATCTATGTTATGGTTAGAGTCTATAATGTGTTGAGTTAGAATGGAGTGTCTTGATGGTTCAAATTTTTCGTTGTTTTTGTGTTCTTTTAATCTCGTTTGTAACTTTCTCTTTGTCTGTCCCACGTATGAAGCATTACAATTGTTGCATGGTATTTTATAAACTACATTCGTGTTGTTTTGTTTATCGATTTTGTCTTTAGGTGCAGTTATAAATTTCGACAACTTTGTTTAGACAACGATGTCCCAGCATGAATTTAGTTTTGTCAATGAGTCTACCAATAGTTCACGCTAACGTTTGTATAAAAGGTAATACTAAGATTTTTCTGGTTGGGGTTTAATCTGTGACAGTGTCATTATCTGTTTCTCTTGTTTTATACAGTAGGACCCTTATTCTACGATTAACCTCTTTGAATATCAAGGGGAGAGGGCCCTGTTGAATATACCCGATTAAAACCGATTGAAAATGTTGAATCCGCATGAATCTGGATTCTTGATGCGGAAAATACCGATTGACGCGGATAGGGTCAAATTTGAATCGTGTTTAATCAGGAATTTCCAGATAGATTTTGATCCGCGTCTATCGGTTTCAACCCGTGATAAAAGTTCACCAATTGGAACCGATTGGCGCGGATGCAAGTCAGTCCGGAAAAGTTGTATTAAAAACGATTGACAGATTTTGTCAGAAAATCCGATAAAAACTGATTGTTACTGCTTCAATTCTATCTGGAATAACCGGATTGAATCAGATTGCGGATTGAATCCAATTGATCTTGCATTTCCACCAATCCGGTGGTTTGATTGATATCGAATTGAAACCGATTAATTTTTATAGAAATCAATGCGATATCTATCGGTTTGAATCGGGTATTTTCAGCAGGGGGTATCCGTTCTCTAATAATGTGTTAATGCAAAATTCAATATTTTTCTTATGGAAAGAAGAATTGGACAATAATAACGCCCTATCCACCAGTCCATAAATCGTGCCTATGTTATGGCACATCGGGTGATTGCAAAAATAAGATAGATATCTTCCCGAGAAGGTCTGTTTGTGGTACCAATCTAATTCTATTGTGTTATTCCTTAGTATCAATCTTAAGTCTAAAAAGCTAATCGTTCCATTAATCTCATGTTCAATGGTAAATCTTAGTCTGTTATGGTAGTTATTGAATTCGGCTAAAACATCGTTGACTAGAGTGTTTGGGGCTGCCATAATTATGTTATCCATATAGTGGTTGTGCAGTAAAGGCTCAAATTTAATTTTATTTAGAACTTTTATTTCTAGGTCCTGCATTACGATGTCCGCAATAATTGGGGAGAGAGGGGATCCCATTGGTACACCAAATGTCTGTTTATATATGTTTTATCAAATAGAAAATATGTTGATAATAATACAAAGTTTATCGCAGACAGGAATTCGTTTTTTGGTATACCTGTGTTGAGCCCGATAATATCCCATCTATCCCTCTATGCCCTCGATGGCCAGATCTAGTGGGACATTTGTGAACAAGGATGGTCACATCGAGTGAGAACAGTACCGTTTCTTTCGTCAATCTTTTCCCCGATAGCATATTGCGCAATTTGAAACTATTCTCAACATAAATATTTGGTTTTGGAACACTTTTTGAAATGATATTATTCAAGAAGGCAGCGAATGAGTGAAGAGGAGAATCTATGGATTAGACAATTAATTTGGGTGGACTGTTCTCTATGTGTGTTTTTGGGAGATCATAGGCTCTAGGCAATAGTGTGTTACTAGATCTCATTCTTAGGAGATCTCTATTATCTAAATAGTCATCATCCAATTCGAAGGGAGACATAAGACGATGCCATTAATTTAACCTTGGATAATCATTTGAAGGTCACATGAAGGTCAATTTCAATTTCTTAAATGGACACCCCCATTTATCATTGCACATTTTTATGTCAAGAGTTTTTCAAAAACACTATACATATAATGAAATATAGTTTTATTTCGAACCAAACAACTTTTGTATGAAACATTTTTTCCTAATATGCTTCAAAGTATTTCCAAACAAGACCCGCGGAGCCCAAATTTTCCATGTTTGACTGGCTGTAGCTCAGTAACTAGCCATTATTTAAGTTTGAGCCCATTATATTTTTTGTTCAGCAGGTCATAAGCTACAACATATGTGAAAATTAGCCAATTTAACCGAGATCCAATTTCCTATATGATTAGTTGCGGGGTTCTTTTTTCTTGTATACGTTGTTTGTCCTAATTAAGGAGTTTGTGAAGGAGTGCGTGTGATGTTTATGGATGTTGTTGAGTATGTAGTTAGGTAGTGTGTTGGTCAGTGATCGGAAGGTTGTAATAAGAGTTTTGTAGATTGTAACGAGCCACGGACCACATTCGTCGAGCATTCTTGTAAAAGCAAACATATGAGGCTGATACTCAAACTGTAAGTTAAACAGCTAAAAGTAGAAAATGCGTTGATACGCATGATCATAAATAACAATCGTAATAGATCACTCATTGGAAAGAAAAAAAACTGTACAAGAACATCCTATTCTCGTCTGTTAACCTGGGATAGGAGGATTGTCGAAATCCCTCCAATTAACATCTCCAATTCAAGCGTAAAAGACTACAACTTCATGATGCGACACGTTAGGATGGATTGATAGTTTGAAAACTTTTTAACTATATTTGAATTTTACTTTTCGACCATACAACTGTAATAAGCTGATCTTTAACTCTCGACAATATCGTAATTATATTATACATATTATTACACTAATTAAACCTATGTAAACTTGCGCTGAAGAAGGTGCCGTGACACCGAAACGTTCGTCATGAAGTTACTCTAAATATAAGTATAATTAATTTTTTACTTTCATCTTATATCGCTCGTGTTGATATTGCCATTGGCCCACTGTTTATGTTCATTTGTTCTCACAAAGAACGAGCCTAACATACCAATTTAATTTATATTTCAATAAATCGTTGACAGAGTTTTAAAGTTGAAACTTCAAGCTTTAAAACCCTTTTTTAATTTTGAGTTTACGATGATTTTTCGCCGAGTTTCAGTGGTTTGAAAATAGCCCAATTTTAAGGGTATGAAAAGTGTTTCCTATTTTTTTTAGTAGTGTATATTATATAATATTGTATTATTATGTATTGTGTATTAATTAACTTACCGTTTAAAATTTTTTTATAATATAAAGAATTTCTACAGTTATATTATTATCAAATTTTGTATGTGCACTGAAAAGAAATAGAAAAGAATTTTGAAATAATGTACTTATTAAAGTAACTGATTATTTATATTGCAGGCGATTGGGGTATTCTGGCAGTGGGCGCAGTTCTTGCAGCTATTCGGAAAGATAATGAAACTGCAACTGAATTGATAAAACGCTATATTGCAATGGGAGAGCGCTGTAAGGAAGTAAACTTTTTGAAATGCGGCTCGGACGAGGTTTTTGTAGGACGTAGCGGCTATCTATATGGTGCACTATGGTTGAATCGAATGATGGAAAGAATCGTTGTGCCACTTGATATAATGCACGAAATTGCACGAACAATTATTGCTTCGGGCAAGACATATGTACAAGTGCATAACACTCCATGTCCACTGATGTATGCATACTATGGCACAGAATATCTAGGAGCGGCTCATGGACTCTGTGCAATTCTACAAATTCTTATACAGGTATTTAGAAGAAATTGTATTTATGCAGATTAATTAATAAAAAATATGAATTAATTGTTGAGGATGTAAAGTATACAAAGAACTGTGTTTGCTTTAAACCCATTGATTTATCTGAGAATGAAAATATTAAGAAAAATATTTAGATTATCAAAAAATATCAATAAGTTTATGAGGCTTTTATGTGGAAATATAGCAGAATTAAATGAAAATATTTTATTCTATTGATTTTTTAATAAGATTACTTTAATATTTTTATAAGGAGAATATAACTAGAAGAATCATATACATGAAAAAATCATGTAACGTTATTTAAAAAAAAAATAGCGATTTCGTCTGATCTCAAAAAATCGAATTTTGTCAAAAATGGATTTTATCATGATTTGATCTCCAGAATATACAACTTTTATCTAACAATAAAACTTTTACATTTTTTGCTATGACATGTATTTTAATAGTTTGTAACACTTTAAATGTTGCACCCTATATTAACATGTGGCAAAAAACATGGTTATATAATTTCTTGTTTTTGATATAACTTAATATGATAAAGGAAGCGTGTCATTTATTATTGAATTATACATATACATACATATACAAAGATATAC